GATTGTAACGTTGATATGATATACACATCCATACGTAGACTTTATTGGGTACAGTAACATTCGGTATGTCACAATACTATCTTGTATTAATTTATTTATTTATTTTTTTTTTTTAATTTATAGTTTATTTGTTTTTTTTTTCTCTTCGTTGGTTTATTTTTTGTGATACTTTCCCACGGTTACAGAGTTTACTTAACTCAATTGCTTCTGGGATGTAAAAATTGTCAAATTTTTCAGTCGTTCGTTTTATTTACTTTTTTTCAGGAAAACGTAAACGATACTTTCGAGGAATTCTATTATTTATTCCTTGTTTCTGCTTTCATTCGGTTTCTGTCAGCATTTCATTCATTATTATCGCAATCGACAAGAGCATCGTCGTTCCTCGTAACCATCAGATTTTCGTTTACTTTGGACATTTTTGATTATAAATTTTAATATCATATCCAGAAAGGATTCCTCTCCTTGCTCTCTCTCTCTCTCTCTCTCTCTCTCTCTCTCTATCTCTATCTCCCCCCATCTTTTTTTTTTACATTTTTTTGCTTTGTTTGTTTTCATTTTAATCAAGCTTGGCAATGATATATTGTTTCGTTAAAGTAATTTAAACCCGTAGCAAATAAAAAAGAAATAAAAATAAAAAAAAATATTGAAAATTATGGCAGTTGTATATATAAAATTTTTGTGGTTGTTGTATTTATCTTAAACTTTTCTTTAACTTTTGGTGTAAGCCATCAGAGCACAACGCAAAACATTTTTCGTTATTATATTTCTTTTATTTATTTATTTAATCAGTAAACGCGAATACTTACGACAATGTCTGGCGAAACAATGCCAAAAGGAGTCTTTTTTTTTTTTTCTTTTCCAACACATGATGGTAAGCAGTAAGTGTGCTGGTAGTGCCGTTACAAAACATGCGTTCATTCGTTTCCAACAAATGAAACTCAAGTAGTTTACTTGCTCTACCCAAAAACACACAAAAATAAACAAAAAAAAAAAAAAGAATTGTAAAAAGTAAAGGAAATAACGGCTACGACGGTTATGACACATCTGTAAATCAAATAATATGTTACGAAATGATTTGAAAGGTGAATAACTTCTGAAAAGTTTTTAAATTCAATATAAAAAATAATTTTTAAAAATAACTAAAGCCACGGTAATAAACCCTGAAACTTTATTTGATGAAATATATATGTATGAAACACATTGTACACTTACTCGATTGAAAAAAAAAAACCGGTTAATTGTTTAAAGTGTATCGCTTGTGATCGGTCATATATCGTCCAGGCTGCTTCCTGTAACCTCTGCCTCTTTCGCCTATTTCTATCGTCTTCATCAACACTGTGTTTGCTCGCGTGCCGCATCATCAGCGAATAATCGGATCCGGTTGAAAAACTGTTTATTATAAATAACTACCAGTTACTCTGATAAAACTTTAGCAAAAGCTTACATTTGTGAGTGGTTAGTGAACTGCTTAGTACTATAACCTAATAGTTAAGACATGGAACACTTTATTCGAAGATGAATAATTTTTCACTTCATTATGAAAATCGCACATTTGATGATTTGAGTTTGCGTGAGAACTATTCGATTTTCTAAGAAATTCTAAAATTCCAAAAGGAGGAGAAAACCAAATAGACAACCGTAACACTTCACCTGCCTCATGCAGCTTACGTCTGGCCAGAAGATTAACAAGAATCAATAGAAAATTTAGCCGAAAAAGAGATTAACTTGAAAATGTCGCGATAATGGTATGTACCGGTAACTTGCCTGTAAAAGGATATATAAACAGAATATTTGCGGAAGACAACTTCAGCCGAGTCAAGAGAGCTGAATTGCAATATTCAACCGGATGCGGAGCATTTAATACGTTGTAAATATAAGTTCCTGCAAGTAATTTGTAAATAGATCTCCTAAGGATCGTAAACAAAACCTGAGCTTATCATAAAAATCATGGTTCAGTGGCACGAACTTGATCTAAAAAGGTTGTTGAATAAAGTCATAAAATCAGTTACTAAAGCCTTTGTTACTGTTACTCGTTAAAGGCGGTTTTAATGAAGTAGTCCGGAGTTCCTAATAATATGAAAAAATCCAAAAAATACATTTTTAAGAATAGACGAGCATTCAGTGTTTGGCCGAATTATATTGTTCTCCAAGAGTTTCTTGAAAAATCGTTTATCTCGATCCGATATTGGGTTACTTTCGTCTTTCATTCCAAAAAGGATGTGTACTATGCCCACTTGTACTGCTGGAAACATGCCATATATGGGTAAAAGATTACAACAACACACACTGTTAGATTATCAATATTAGATAAGGGCTGGCAGGCCTTCGGTATCACTTTTACGCGCATGCCCATTATTTCCTTCTGTGTTCTTAAATTTAATCCAAAGTTATTAACTAATATCAGATGTGAGAAGATGTAACATTCCTAAAAATACAACTCCGTCCATTAGACATTAATATGTACAATACACGACAATATACTTTATCATCAGGTGCTAACAGATACTTCTCGTATCATTACCAAATTTTAAATAAAATGAGAGCTGAGCTATTTTTAGAAGTTTGAAGCAAATTTTTAACTTTACAATGGGAACAAAGAATTCGTGTCTATGGTATATCGAGTAAAACTCTCTTACTTGTTATATTCCTCACTATTTATAGTACAAAAAAAAAGTATATTAAACTTGTGCGGATGTATGCAGCACATAGATGGTCTTGAAAAAGATACATCTTATCTGATTCTTATCGATTCAGAAATTGACTCTGAACTTGTCTCTCGGTCTTGTTTTCTCGCATTCACTTCAGCAGTCGCAAATTTTTGGGGTATTTTGATGAAATTTGGTACACTGACGTGTTTTGGCGCAAGGAAGAACGCTATTGAAAGTGTTGCGGGTCGGACAGCTTTTTCGAATACTTCTTGGATAACTTGGATATATTGAAAAGTTGTTATATGCGTAACTGTAGGGTGATGTAGAGTATTTATCGGGAAACTATGACCCGTTATAATGTTCTTGCTCGTTTTTTTTTTTTTTTTTTTTTTTTTAAAATTTTTTTTTCTTTGGACAAAATAAGCAACATAAGTTATATACATTCGCACAAACTTAACATATCCTTGTGCGACATGTGGCGCGGGGTATAAAAATGAAGCATATTTATTTGACTTCAGTTGACCTTAGCAACTGATAAAAATGTCAACAAAAGGGTATGCCGTAAAATCCAAATAATTGCATTGGCGCTTCAGCAGGTTTTGAAAGCTTTCCGAACGACATCTGCTATGCTTAGTATTAGGAAAATAAATTTCTTGGATCCGTTTGTTAAGAGTAAGTAGCACTGCGTGGTGCTAAAAAAAAGTTACAACTTCGCCATTTCAAAGTATTGTCTGCGTAAGTTAGCACACCATTTTCTAGAAATTTTATTTTTTCGGTATAAATCGAAGGCTAAACACTTACAAGTGATGAACATTACTCGCGGCACGATATCCAAACGTCGACGAAACACCTGAATTTCTATGGCGACTACGTTTGGGGGAATATCGGTAGGGCTTCGCGTATTACGTTTCAATAAAATGGGATCACCACAGAGGAATGCTGCGATTGCGACAAAATATAGACGTGAAAGGCCAAAAGTCTTGATATTGCGAGTTTTGCGTATGAGGAAATGCGGTCGCATTTGAAAGAACAAGCTATGGAAATGTATCCTGGAATGCCGTAATCTCCCCGCTGTCATGAGCAGATGTTGCTCTCTTCGATTAACATGGCTTCCAATAGACAACTTAATGTCTGCTCGAAAGGCGCTTTGATTCTTATGATGTAGTATGGATTTCTTTGGGGGGAAGGCTTTAAAAGACGAGACATTTTTTTAATATGAAACTTGTAAAATGTCTACGAGATGGGAAAAAGTTATACTCAGCTATGGAGAATACCTTGATTAATCTGTTCATTCAGCTTGTTCTGAAAGAAATACATTTTTGACTGTAAAGAAACCGGACCTAACTAGTAAGGTGTACTTTCTTGCACTTCGTGGACGTGACTGTGAACGGATCATACCTAACTTTTGCATTCGGCAATAGATGGCTTACAGGAAACGTGCATACTTCGTGTTCTCTCGAAGGGTTACACATCAAAGAATATCTAGTATAGTCATCTTATCTTTTAGTGAGAGAAAATACATTTTTTATTAGAAATAAAAGCGAAATCAGTTCCTTTCGAAAGTTGCAAGCGATAAATTTTCGAAATTTTATGATTTCGTAGATTAATGTGAGATAAAACGCAACAGTAAACTCTCTTCACCCATTATCATCTCAAGTAACAATGATTGAATGGTTTTGAAGTTACTGACAAAAAAAAAAACTTCACCGAGAACTATTCCCGGGAAAAGATATTTAACAACTTTTACAAATTGTGTTTACTTTACTAGCAAAAGCAAAAGTTTATTTTTAAACATTTTAGGAGAAACTCACTCACAAATATGTACGTTTTTCATGCTTTAAAGCCATTTTATACCCATCACCGAACGATGAGGCGGTATATTTATTTTGTCCAAATGTTTGCAACACCCAAAAGAAAGCATCGTAAACGCCTCAAAGCGTATCAGCATTAAATTCTAAATCGATTTAAACATGTCTGTCTGTCTGTCAGCCTCTTGTAAACTTTCTCCTGGTCGTTAAAATGAAGCTGTTAACTTCAAATTTGGCAGTAACATTGGAAGTTCTTGCAAGCAGATTGATATTGAAAATGGTTCTAATCGGTTGAAAGACACACCCACAGCACCACGTAAACTAACAACACCTCTGTTTTTCAAAAGAAAGTATGACAGTATGCAGTTCTTTTCTTTTTTTGTAGTCTTTTTTTTTGGGATAACGATGATGGGTAGAAAAGATTCGGTCATGACCGAATTTTCTTACTTGTTTTTCTGTTTTTTTTTTTTTGGCATCTGTTTCTTATTTATATAGGTGTAACTAGTAAACATCGTTTTTTTTTTTTGTATGTGTTTGTAACAAGCGAACGACGAATGGAACGAATTTACGAAGGAAACGAACCAGAAGACAGGAACGTATAATAACAAAGGATTGTTATAAGAGCAATGAATTTTCCCAAATTGAACAACAGAAACACTAACAAGAACGATAACAACTGGCGTACACAACACAGCACAGCTCAGCACAACACAACACAACACAACACGACACGACAAAATATAACAAAGGCTTAAAGTGAATTTAGCAATGGAAAGAAAAAATAAATAAAATGAAATAAAATGAAATAAAATAACATAACATAACACAACATAAATGGAATACAACACTTTGAAAAACACATAAGCTAAAGAATAACAAGATACAAGTTCACTCCTTTATTGGCATTAAAAGAGAAGAATAAAATAAATAAATAAGAAACAAAGCGGCAACCGAATAAAAACACTAACAACAACAACAGCAGCAGCGGCAACAAAAATATCATCTTTTAAAAAGCTACAAAATGTTGTCTTCTCTTGTATGTTTATTTTCTTTTTTTTTTTTTGCTCTTTGTTTTCTTTACTTATTTTATTTATTTTATTTTTTTTTTTTTGCCTCTAGAGTTTGCTATCATTATACTCTTCCACTGTCGCGTACTTGAATGACTTGCTCGCTCTGGTAATGGTAATATGGTAGAAATTGGCGGCCACCATTTTTTTTTTCCTTCTTCTTGTCCCTTCATTGTAAGTGCGTGTGTATGTAGACATTATGTGTAAGTAAGCGGATGATGATTGTATTTTGGGTTCAAGCACAGAAATAATGATAATAATAGTAATAGTAATAATGATGATGATTTCTTCTTCTTCTTCTTACGTTGGTAATTCTTTGTCTATTCATTTTACTTTAAGCGTTTTTTTCTTAGATCTAAAACCTAATTCCGAAAGCAAAGAAACAAACAAATAGGAATAAAAAAAAAAATACTTCAAATCAAATCCAGCTATTGTTAAAGTGGAAACATATCTCAACGTCACAGTGATGTCAAGCATTTGAACACACAAAAATGTAATTAAGGCATTGCCTTACTTACAAAAGCAAGTTACAGTCCGACACAAGGCCAACTATACCGCCAAGTTAAGACACTTAATAAAATCTGGTATGTTTACTGCAATGAGTTACGATCGAACAAGGTCAAGCCTACGCTGCATTATTTCATAGTATACCAAATATTAACCCTTGGTACCTATCTACCGCATGAAATCATATATATATATATACATATATACCTACACAACTTCTAGTATTAGAGGAGTACATTAAGTTTGTGTGGAGGTATATAGTACGAAGAAAGGCTTAAGATAGATTCACCTTGCTACCAGGCTGTCTATCCGTCTGTCCGACTGATGTATGTGCATGTGAATTTCTGTTGAAGCTACCTATCGTCTTATTTAATATAAACTTTTGTCCATTAGGAAATAGGCTTTCCTGATCCTCAACTTATAAGTACAGTTTTTGAAGAAGAAAAAACTTAATTTTTCGTACTGTATACAGACTTCATTGGGCTACAGTATAAATCAAGTTGTATCATAATATGCTAAAAATTAGATTAAAGGCTTGCTTTTCTCATGAAAGTTGTCCTTATAAGGGAATAAATCCAGAAATAGGCTTGCATTGTTCTACTCTAGCGCAGAAATTTAAGAAGCGTGACCACTAACTGGACATACCTGGGTTCAGTTTCCTGATGAGACTTACTCCAATTACGATTGTTATGTGGCCGTAGCTGCAATGAGTACTCGATCGGTGAGAGTGTAACACTTAGCAATCAAACATAGACCAGGGCCCACTACTACTTTCCACGCCCAAAAATGTCATTTCAGAAGTGATTCGAGGATTGGAAAAAGCGCTGGCATGAGTGTATTTCATCGAAAAGAGATTACTTTGAAGGGGACAAAGTAAAATCTTGGTGGATAAACAAATATTTTTCGAGAAAAATAAAAGGTCACCCTTTTCTTTCGTGAACACACTTCGTGTAGGGGGTACAACCTGAGTGAAAGAATATTCATTTACCAAGTATTAAGAATTACAGAGTTTCATTTGACAACGTTGTGAGAGAAAAGATCTAACTTTTTCCGACTCATTTTCAATAGGGTTCATGTAAGAAAGTTTTCAGCAATATATCAAAAGCTGATTCGATCCGAGCCGATCCACTTTCAATAACGTTCATTTTTAGACCAAGATATATAAATATAGCAAATTTTTCTAAGAGACCGGAAACTTATTGAGCGATGTATCATCTCAAAAATTATGGCCTAAACTTTAAATACGAGTATACTTGGGTAGAGATCGATGACAGACACCCCGGAAATAGACTTGAATCATTTTAGGAAGTTCTTCTAACTCGATTGATATAACATGGCACAATCTATTATTGGTCATTCATTATCTTAACATATTGCTAGGTTGAGTCTAGTAACTTAGATAAGTAACTTTCGATACAGCTAGGTAAGATCTATTGTGCGTATTTTTACCCACTATAAGTCATCGAAACAAACCAATTTTTGATTTTCACTACTTGGTCCAGGCTATATTCAATTGTTTTCTCAATCTCTGAACTGAAGAGTTAAAAACTGCATATTCCACATGTAACGCTTTGGGAATTTGAACAAGGCAATATCGCCAAGGCGACAGTTGAAAAAATATGCAGCGTATACGGTGCAGGCCTGATAACTGCTCGGGCAGTTAGAAATTGGTTTGAAAGATTCCGTTCTTAAAAGACAGGACGTCAACCTTTTAAAGACAATATTAGAGTAACTAAAATAACTTACCTTGCTATAAAACGTGTCAGCTATTTACACAGAATATCCCATGTTTCGACAAAAGGGATCCAAGTGGACTAACAGATAAGGTAGCTATTGTTAAAATCTAGAAGAACGTCTCGGGCTTCACAATCATCATTCAATAAGTACTTAAGATTAGGTGTGTTAGAGAGCTAAGACTTCTACTTCTGAAAACTAAGTTTTTAGTAAAAAAAGAAAATCTATTTTACAGGTACTTTCCCCAATGAGATGGTTCCTTCTCTTTAATTTGTGTAAGAAAACCTTCGGTTTCTTTTTTTTTTTTAAGAAGTTTTCATTCTACTTAAGTTTTTTTTTTTTTATCGAAATTTTGTTGAATTATGTCCACTGTCTTGAAAATATATTGCCAGCCGATCGTATTTCAAAATTTCTTATTAGACTAAGAAAAAAAGCTGAGATAAGAAGATGCTTCTTCTATTTTGTTGCTTTAAAATAAGGTGAATATTTAATAGTAATCTTATCAAGCATTGACCTTGAATCACTTTTGAACTTTTCAACTTAAATTTCTTGACTAATTGCATTTCCAAAAACTTTCTTTTATATTAAGTTAACAATTAAAACTAAAAAAGAAATATTTGTGACTTTAGAATTAGTCATCCTATCAAAATGAATCCTTTTTTGCAAAATGTGTATTATTACATCACAATGTGCCTCACATGAGGAACGAAGCCCATACCTTCGACAGAAGGGATCCAATAGAGGAGAAAATTTGGAACAAAGATGTATTGAGAAGCTGTGCACATAACCATTTCAAAGAAGTAATATTTGATAATTTAGACCAAAGAACTTGCATCAATAAATAAATAAATAAATGTTTTATTACCTTTTAAAGATTATCTTATTTTTACATAGTTCAAAATCAAAAGATATATAGAACCTGCTAATAAAATTTATGTTTATATATGGCTCGTTTGGACAGCTAAACGAATCTTACCTATAAACAACTTTCTGGCAAAGACACAAGACTCCTTTCAACCTGCGCGTCTTTGATTTGTTATGAAAACGTATGCTAAGATCAGCATCAAATATCTTTTGATCTCTGCAATATATATTTCTCACAGATCTCAATTATTGTAATATTTTTTTTTCCAAGTGCTTGGTGGCAAAGTTTATTACGCAATTAGTTCAATGGTAAATGTTAATAGCGAAAGTTTTGAAACACGGAGACGAAAAGTCAAGACGGACAACCGATCAATCAATAAGAAAAATTGCCATATTTAAAATACGGAAAAGCATAAGTATATAATGGGCTGATTCATAGAAAGTAAGCTCGATATGCTTAACAATATTTAGGGAAATATTACGCAACGACAGTGACTACACCATCTCTCGCGCATTGCCTAAACTTTATCTCAAAAGTGCAATGGCAGTCCTTCTTAACAGAATATTCTATCGTATTGGGGTTGGATTGATAGGGATATACAACTCAATAGGCCTTCAAATGGGAATGCATGATGACGCTTCAAGACACTTTACAAGCAATGTTCACGAAATCAATTTCTTCCTAAATGAATACTTGCTCAGGTCTAGGCAGGGATGTAATATATTTCTTTAAAGGTCTCTAACACCTATAAATCTTCTTCTTGAAAATCTTCCAATAGTATTAGTCTCGCTTTTCTCTTAAATGAAGGATATAAGAATTTCTAAGAGTTTACCACAAACGTGATGTAACAATGTATTTTTGCATAGTTTAATTGAACTGCGGGAATAACTTCTATCTTCAACTCTTCTAACTTCATCTCTAAACCGCCTAAGCTAACAAATAATTTTTAAACTTGTTAAGAAACTGTTACAGCGAACCGGTTTTTTGACCCGTATAATCGGTTTTGGAGCCGATTATCCGAATTTGAGAAGCAATTTTTTTCATTGGATTATTATTAAGTACTAAAGGAAGTAGCATTTAGCTCGTTTAACAATTCTTGCAAGTTTCATTAGGTAAACCGATCTTTTGAAAGAATACAACAAATATATTAATCTCGTATTTTTTCTTCATCAAAACACGAAATCTTTCTCTTGTGAAGATATTTTTGTACAAAATTTAACTAATATAACTTTAACGTTACAAAATACTTATGTTTTCGTAAAATATTTTTCTTATCCGGGTAATTAATTTTTGATATCAAAAATCAGGTTTTTTCAAGTAAATTTTTCACTTAAATTTGATAATATATTCGTTAAATTATGCAACCATTATTTCAATATTATGTTCAATCGAAATTTGTAAAAAAAAAACATCTGCAGTAGCTACTAGTTGGGCATATAAGCCTCAAGCTAAGATTTGTATAATTCATCTCTTCCACTC